TCTGATATGGTGTCCTGTGTTGCCCCACCCCTATATGTCCCATTTGATGGTCAGTGTGTGTGAAAGGATTTCATTTCATTTCTTTCAGGATTGCCTGTGCTTTTTTTTGGTTTGTTAGCTTACAGCTCCTTGCTGTTCTTGCTTTTATACCTCTTGCTGGCCAAATGTCTGTCCCCCACGCTTCGCTCCGCTCTCTGTCCAGCCTGTCTCTGCCTGTTCGCTTGTTCGCTTGTGTCTCTTCATGCACTTAATACATATTTTTGTCACCCTTATCTGGTCATGGACGTCATATGCTTTCCCCCCCCCCCCTCACCACCGTACATATCTCTGTCCCCTCGATAACATTGTCTCTGACTTTGGGGCTCAGTGTGAAGTGGGATTCCATGATGAGTGGACAAAGAGTGAGAGGGAGAGAGACACTGCCACTGGCAGTGAGGACGAACTCTGGTCTGCCGTCCTGGAGGCCTGTTATGATTGTCATCTGAATGAGTTGACAGAGTTAGTTGTTGCCTATGGGTTCTTCTGGGCTCTTTAAAGAGGCGACTGCTAAAGACGGAAGTTCAAATTAATACAGAGAGTGCTTCTTGAAGGAGAGGCTTAAGAGTAGTTTTCTATATTGGAGTAAAAACAAATTTTACCGAAGAGAAACGATCATACAAGAAGCTCGAACTCTGTCTGAGTTCGTATGCAAAACCAATTGGCATGTGTTGGCTTCAAACATGCTCGATCGAGCATGCCATTTAGCTGCCTAAACAATTGCTGAATTAGAGTTGCAACTGCATTTGTTGCATCTGTGTTTGAGGTTCGATGGTGTGGTTCGCTGCTGTGGTTCGATCATGTTCTATGCAGTTCTGCAAATAACTGAAAGAACATTACATGAAAGCAGCATAAAATTGGTTAATTTAAATTAAATGCTGCTCTTCAAGCGGTTAAAATTTCCCTAATATTATTTCCACTTGAATTTGGCTTCTCGCTCCCAAATGGCCTTTTCGCACAGCCCCTTGTCATGCCGCGGCCTGGCATTGAGTTTGGCAAACTTTTGCCACTTTCCGATTAACTCTCTCTACCGCTCTCTCTTTTACTCGCTCATTTCCAATTATAATTTACACATTCAGACCATTTGTCTTCTTCTTCGTCCTTTGGTTGGTGGTTCCTGGAGAGAGAGAGAGAGAGAGAGGGGGCCTTACGCGACATTGCCATAATTTAGCCACTTGGCCATAATTTAAAGAGCGGGAAGAGCTATGTGACATTTCGTTTTTACGACTTTTTACCAAGTTAATAAAGTGTGTGTGCCCACCCCCATCCCACACACTCGCTCACATATGCATAAGTGGAAGCCTTCCGCACTTCCTCCCTCCCCCTCCGCAGACAGTACGTGACTTCCGGCCAAAACAAAACGGTTCTTTGCTGCCTGTTTTCTTGTTGTCTTTTTTTTTTATTTTTTGGTCGCCAGACATTTTATGATAATTTATTTGATTATTTTCTTGTTAAAGTGCAAACTTTGTCATATTTTCCCGCTCTGCCCTCGCCTCTCTCGCTGCTCTCTTTACTCGATTTTTCTTCGCGTATTTTCTTTGTTTGGGCGAAAAGTTTATGCTGCATATTGCACGAGTGTGGTGGGGCGGCGGGGGCGGCGTGTGTGCATAGTGTTTGGATATGAAAAATCGTCGCCGGAAACGGAAATGTTTCACAACATATGTGAGCCAGGGCAGAGTTTGTGTCCTTCCGACCACCTCCCCTTCTTTCGTTACTCCTTTCGGCAGCAAATTCATTTTATTGCATATTTTTTGGCGCCACATGACGGGGCACCAAACGGACTGGCAAGTGCTTCTGTTTATATGGTGTCGCCACGCCGCCATCCCTATGCCACACAGTGATTTTAAAAATCATTTTTTCTGCACTTGCTCCCTCCTTTTTTTGTTGTTGTTTGTCGGCGGTTGCTGCTCCTGCTGCCTTCGTCTACTCTCCCGCTTTTCAATCATCAGACAGCCAACAGTGCAACGCAAATGAAATGAAAACTCACAGTCAAAGTTTTATACTTGAAATACCCTTTTAAATGCACTCTTTTTGGCAGCTCTGGCAGCCGTAAGCTACATAGGAAATTTCATTCCATTTAGTTTTGACTTTTGCTACAGTAAAAAAATCTTTCCCATAGAGAAAATAAATTTATTTTCACACTAGAACAAAATCTAATTAATTTTAAAGGGTATCTAATGGCCTAGTCCTTGCACTTCTTGTGGTTTTGTTTTTTTTTTTCTTTTCGTAGTCAAAACTTTTGTTTGGCATCGGCAATATCCTGGCGGCAGCTGGTCGCTGCCCTGCCCGGCCCAATCTCTAACCTCTTTCTGTGTGTGTTTTTTTTTGTGGCTACATGTAGGTGAGTGTAGAGTGGCGGTATGCAGGTGCAACTGCAGCTGCAGCGTGGATTGAAGTATAGGGGCGCCGCGCCGCGCCACAATCAAAGTCAGCATTTTTGCTGCACTCTTAATTAATTTCGCTTTGGCTTTGGCTTTGGCCTTTTGTTAAATTATTTCTGTGCGCCAGCAAAAAGTTGCTCCTCTGCCACTGCTCGGCGCCAGGAGGAGTCCCTACACTGCACTTGTAGCCCCTGCTGTTGACTTCCTTTATTGGGATACCCTCAGCCTCTGCCCTCATCCTCTGGTTTTTTTTTTGTGGAAAAGTATTTTTCATAATTGAAATGCATAAATTTTATTTGCTTTTGCGCGTTTCATGGCATTTTTATTTACCAAATTAAAATAATATTTTTGGTGTGCTGTTTTTGTCTCGCATTTGCATTTTTCGTTGTTTTTCCCCGCGGATTTTCCGTTGTTTTCCTCCGCACCTTCTCCCCAGCCTCCTGGTGTCTGGCTGTTTCTCCCTGTCCTTTTCGGCCTGCCTTTCGCCTGTTTCCTCTCTCTGTGTTTGCTCTGTTTAAAGTTTTTATTTTTCTTTTGCTCGATTTGCGTCAACGAATTAAATGCGCATTTTGCAGCTAAACAATTGTTTTTCTTTCGTTTTTTAATATTATTTTTATTAGGGATAGAAGAAGGGAGCCCCTTCCTTGCTCCCGCCACGGAGAGAGAGAGTTGTTGCTGGCACGGCTTGTTGCCACCTCTTGCGGCATGCATAAAATACGCATTTGTGCTTGACAGCCTTGCCGCAGCTTTTCGCCAACTTCCCGGCACTGTTGCCGCCTGCCTGCTCCCAAAAATGAAGGCATAAAAAGGCAATAAAAACATAAAGAAATAAAAAACACATAACACAGATGCAGGAAGGCAGAGGCAGGGAATGCCAAAAGGAAGGAAGACAGTGGCAGGGGTAATACCAAAAGAAGACAAAGAGGAGTTGCTTGGGTTCTTCCTTGGCCTTACCATTTTCTCTCTGCTGTCTTCTCGCCCACTAATTACACGCGTTTGCATAATTGCCCATCTCTTTCGTTCAATTTGGTTTCCCTTTTGCTCACTCGATTCTTTAGCCACTGTTTGCCACATTTCCATTCTGCGGTTCTTGCACCCACCTTTTGCGGACATTTCTGTAAATCTTTAAACTTTGTCTGCCACTGAATCCTGCAGACTGCAACCCCTCCTCATGCATATGCAAATGGCATGGAGATATTCTGTTGCCTGCCCACACACGAGAGGCGCAAAAAGTTTTCTTCTGGGCATGGAAAACCATTTGTTTTGTTGCACAGGACCAAAACCGACGCAGAGTCGGAGTCTATTTAATTGAAATTTTGGGTACATTTTTCAACGCCTCTGCTGTGATATGAAGGAAAAGTTTTCCGAGGCGAACAATCAAAGAAAATTGTCTGCAAAAACACGAAGGAAAATTTTGTATACATTTGCATTTTGCTTTGGTTTTTTTTTTTACAGCACAGTAATTAAGTCATTGACTGTGTGGTGGAGGCGGAGGGCGGATTGCGGAGTGCGGAGTGCTGTTAAATCTGCTTTGAAAATGTCATTTCCCTAAGCTCTTGCCACTCTCGACGGTCCCGTTCAATGCCGCTGAAGCGTAAATCTCATTTTAATGCCAAGAGAGTTCTTAATTTAGTTTAATTACACCAAACACAGAGTAGAGAGAGAGAGAGTGTGCTAGGGCAGACAGCGACAGACAGAAAGGATATACAGGGGACGCGCCACGTTAACAAGTTTTTGTTGCTGCCTCAAAGGCAAAAGTCTGGCACTGGCTCGTTCGTTGCATGCTTCAATGCGATTTTAATTACAAGAAATATATGCAGCCAGAGCCAGCAACATGACGTATGCGTCATTTGGAAGGGAGACACAAAGCCCCAGACTCAGACAAGGATGTGCGCGGCATGGCACTGCCGAGGCGATGCTGCCACTGCCACGCTGCCTGCCACACTGCTGCTGCTGCTGCTGCTGCTGCTTGCCACGTAATTATGCGCACACGAAAATTTGCAACAAAATGTTTGCCACGTGCAAAAAGGAAAAGCAACACTGGGATGGGTATGGGTTGGTAGGGAACAACAATGGAGCAGCAGCCGCCATGTTGATAATGATGTGTCTACGCCACGCCCATGCACCGCCCACCGCTGACTCATATGCCAACCCTCGCTGGCTGTTGTTTTTGTTGCACTTTTCTTTGCTTCTCTTTTTGTTACCCTTTTTGTTTCATTTTTCATTTTGCAATTAGCAAACGCCGAGGGCAAAGCTAAATTGTTTGTGAATTTGCGCCAAAGTAAAAGAAGGATCCTAGATCCTCCTGCCACCAGAGGGGTGTGGTTGGAGACATCGAATGATGTGGCAGTGGGGCTGCTGCGGCAAGTGCTTCTGCTCTCAAAGTTTATATTCATTTGATAGGAAACAAGTGGCCTGCTAAGGATGGTTGAATAAGTGCATTACCCTGACGAAAAGGGGTGGAAGAAGGGTGGTACTCCACCCCTCTCCTGAAGGCGCGCTGAAACGTGACAATGCGGAGACAGCCTCGAGGGCAAACTGAGGGTGCTGCAACATTGCCAGTGGGCCAGACAGACAGACAGACAGGCAGGCAGGCAGGCAGGCAGTCAAGGCAACACTTTATCATGTCAGTTAGCAGAGTGGAAATGGAATAAAAACAGAGCAAGAGCAGAGGCAGAGACAGAGGCAGAGACAGCAGCGTTGGCAGATCCCCCGAAAAAGTTGAATTATTCCCTTTTTAATTTCAATGGTAACAACGTAAAAAGAGCTGGAAATTCATATTTGAAGAGTGTAAATATGCTTTAATTGTTTTTAATTGAACAAAAAGTGCGAAAAAAGCAAAAAAACTACAAAAGAAATCATTTTTCAATTGGAAAATGCAGCCGTTTGGTTATGCTTAATTTATGCAGCGGAACACCAACGTCACTAGCAATCAAAGTGATCCATAAAGTGCATGTACTTCTCTCCTCGCGCTGTTGCCTCCTTCTTTTTTTGGGCAAGAGACGTGTCGCCTTTGCTTGGGGCACATACAAAGATGTGTCGTCGTGCCAGGGCAGGGCCTGTGCAAATGCTGGAAAACCAAACGAGAGTAGGATAGAGAGACAAACAGAGCAGAGAGTGAGTGAGAGAACGAATTCCCTCTGAATATGCAAATGAAACTGCGGCAGCGGCAGCGGCAGGACGGTCGCAGGACGAATGAGGTTAAGTTGAGCAGCGTCAATTGTAGATCTGACGGAAATGAAAACAAGATGTGGATGTGTGTGTGTGTGTGTGTGTGTGTGTGTGTGGGAGAGGGTATTGTGAAAGATGAGCTTTTTGGGGCAAAGGGTTGGTGGGTGCACCGGTGGTGCTGCGGGGCTCCTCTTGGGCATAAAATTTGAAATGAAAATGTCGCGAGAAGCCCCAGCTGCACGCAGAAATGCAACAATGCAAAAGGCCAAAGGGCCAAAAGGGAGGGGAAGGGTGCGCGAAAGTCAAGACAATTCCGCGAAAAAGAGACACAAAGTGGACGGAGATGGATGGACACACGAGGGAGCAACACAGAGTGAAGGGGCAAAGACAATTTCATGCGTGTGGAGGTGAAACCGGAGGTTAACCTGAAGTTCAGTTTAATTTGATTTTTAAAGCACAAACAACAGAAGAAAAACACAAACAGAAACAGAAATAGAGATGCAAATTTTGCACATTTTTTAATTAAAAATTGAAACAGATACAGCCAGGTAGACAGAGAGAGAGAGAGAGAAAGAGAACTGAAATACACAGAAATTGAGTGAGTGAGCGGGAGAATGAAGTCAAATGGTAGTCCCATCATTTTGGATAGAATTACAAAGGGAAATCAATTTGAGATGCCTTCGCATCTGTCAGTTTGAACCCTTCTGTCTTTGTGCTCCTGCTCCTGCCCCTGCCTTACGTATTGATTGCCAGTTCGAAAACGATTTAAACAAAAGGTGAATGCGACTATAGAGTTACCTTAAGCGCAGGTTTATTTGTGGTTCATTAAGTGGAAAATGATCTTAAAGCGAAACAATTGCCTAGAGGGGGAATAATGTGTTTGATTTTGATTGAAATTCGATTCTTAGTAGTTTTATCATCACTCAAAAACTGTGCATATATTCTGCACTTTCTTTATGCTGTGGCATGTCCAAATTCCTGCTTTAACTTCCCTTTATGTACCTTGCAACCGGAGGTATTTCTGCCCCGAAACTCTGTCTCTCTTTTTCTGTGTCATCCATAGGCTCAGTGGCCAAAACTAGAATTGAGAAATTGATTGACTTTTTTCTTCCTCTCTCTCTCTGTGTGTGTTGCACCTTTGTTTGTTTGTCTTTGGTGCGTGCCACAAATGCAAGATGGATAGAAAGTAAACGACAACAATATGAAAAACTCATTTGTCCAAACAGAAAATGAACACTGCAACATGAAGAGTTTTCTTTGTCGGACCTTGCGGGTATCTGCTTTTGGGGGCAATCGAATCCGTGACCTAGAGATGATGATGATGTTGCACCAACGACTGACTACCAGTCATTAGAGCAGTTTTTGCTCTCGTTTTTCATGAGAGGAAAAACATTATCCATTCAGAGAGCAGCTTTTTCGTTTGCTCGTTGTTATTTTATTTTAATTATGACTTGAGCTGAGGTTAAGGTCTCTTTTTTTTCCGACTTTTAGTAAAGATTTTGTGCGTGGCCAAAGAGATCATATAATGTGGCTGCTCAATGCCCCGCAGGTGGTGGTGGCTCATTAAAAAATATATATGAATGTTTGTATGTAACAAAGGGGCTCTGGTAGGCCTCTAACGAGTTTCGAGCTTCGACTGATTCTATTGTTGAGTGAGGGTTAAATAACAACTCGAAAAAACTGCCCGGTAATGCCAAAATATTATGAACACCAATTGATTAAACATTATAGATACATAGGCCAGGTTGTTATGTGTTTTGATAGATGATTAAATCGCAGCATTTATCATAATTTGTCTTCTCTTTTTCTGCACGGAAATAATGATTGATTCAGTGCTAAGTACAAGATGTTTATAATCATCAGCGGAAGAGTAGAAGAATATAAAGGGTTAAGGGTGTGGTTTGGGCGTATATCTAACCATTATTCATCAGTTGATTTTTGGGCAGATAGATTGCGGAATAACCAGCTATTTAGGGGGCCTACAAAATGGGAATCATAAAAGTCTGAAGCGTGTGTTTTGACTATGATAAATTCCCGTACAAATTTACATGGGAAATTCGTTTTGTTTCCCCTTTTTTTTTCTTTAGTTTTCCCTTAGTTAATCTGTTGGATCCATCCATCGGTTTTGCTGCTGCTTATACTGCTGCGAGAATTTGCCACTTTAACCCACAGCACATCCTGTTCTGTTCAGTCCTGTCTTGCCCAGTCCTGTCCTGCCTTGTCCTGGCGTTTTGTTGACACATAACAGCATTGCGTACTTTGGCCACCAGTCAGGGAGGCGGCTCCTCCTGGCCTTCTTCTTGTGCGTTGCGCGTCACTAAGTGAACTTTTCCGTCACTCTCTAAGTGAGCTTTCTGCCTTCACTTTAAGCGGACTTTCACTCTAACCAAAGGCATCACTCTGCAGCTCTCTCCCTCTGCCTCTCCGATCCATCCTTTAGCCCTGTATCCTTTGCTGAAATCCCGCATTCGATATCGCGCCATTTCGCCTCAATCATTTCAATCAGCTTTGGGCTCTCACTTATAGCTTCACTTACATTGACTTGCCTTTTGGCTTTGCCTCTCCGCTATATCCAGCATGCTCTTGTCCTGCCTCCCACCTCCCGCCTCCCTGCCTTCAGCTGCCAGGCGCCTTTTTCCCTGATAGCTTCCTGTTGGAGGGCAAAAAGTATTTATATTTTTTCCCACTCTCTGTGGGTGTTTTGTGACTTTAGATCGAACTTTAATCAAAGTAAACTTTTATGCGCTTTGGCTATACACAATATTTTCTCCTTTTTGGGTGTTTGCGTGGCTTGATGGATTTTGATACCAGCAGCAGCAGCGGAGTAGCTTCTCCTGCCCTGCCAGCCGTTTCTGTTCCATCAACGCATTGTGCGTTTTACCAAGAGAGAGAGAGAGAGAGAGAGAGAGTTGCCTTGGCATAAAAGGGATATGGTACATAGTATCTGATGGCAAGTGGAGTTACAGGGAGGGGCATAGTCTGCGTATTGAATGTAACCAGAACACAGCTGCAGCAAGAAGAAAGCGCTGCACACACACACACACACACTAGCCCAAAAGAAGGAAATCAAAAAAAAAAAAAGTAAACGGAAAATAAAGAGCGAAAAACTTTAAATTGAAAACTGTATTCAAGCGTTAAATTGGCTTTTTCTGCGTTACTCTCTCTTCCCCTTCCTCTCGCACTCTCTCTTTGTCTGACTCTCTCAAGCGCTCCTGTTCAGTCAGCCCCGTCGCCCCCGTTTCACACACTCTAGGTCGACTGGTGTGCCCCGTCCCCCTTCTCACTGCTGAACCACAAACTGCGGCAGTGTGTGCACCCCCAAAGGCCGCCTCCCTCCTGGCTCCTCACTCTTTTTGGCACAATGCACTTTCGCCTTTCTTTTTTGGGTTTTGTGTTTTTCTCTTTTAGGTGAGTGTGAGTGTGGTGTGTTTTTTTGCAGCGGATATTAGTATTTTGCATAGAAGCTTGCAAATGCCAGTCGTTGTGTTTGATCTCAGTCTTCTGCCGCTTGTTCAGCCACAGCTAGAGGTGTGCAAGAAACTCTAATAGGAAGAGGAATACCCTTGGAGTTCCATTGTACACGATTTTTGTAGGCTGACTTTAGTGAATACTTTTAATATGTTGCTGGAGCAGATAGAATGACAGCCAGTATTGGGTCTGCGGGAATGTCTTTGGTGACATCTTTGGTTGCATCTCTGGCCTATTCCAGTGCCTATTGAGAGAACTGCTGTCCACCAGTGGGAGAGCGGGACAGCGGTCAATGGCAGCTCAAAAAAACTTCACATCCTTTCACATTGTTCCTCTGACATTTCTTTCTTGGTTGCTGCTTTTCTTTGTTGGCCAGAAATTAATTAGTATTCGGTTTTGCTATGTCTCTGTGCAAGAACGCTTAAATCATTGTCTCAGCTCCACACACATGTTGTACCTAGATACTATTGGCATCTCTCTCGGGCCCATTCCCACTGCCCATTCTCTCTTGCTCTGCTCCCCTTCTCCATTTATCTCTTACACATAAATTCCAATAATCGTTGTATGTTTTGCATGTTAATTATGCCGTTTGCTTTTGTCTCTTCTGCGATTCTCTTCGATTGTGATTCTGTTTTTGGGATCTTCGTTTTGTGCTTCCTTCTCCCCATTGCCGTTGTTGTTGCTGTTGCTGTGTGATTTTCATGTTTTGCGTATTCAATAAACGGCAAATGCCAAACGCACACATGTGTCCCCCAACCCCCTTTAATGGACTGCTCTATGCGGCCCCCTTTACCCCTCCTCAGCAGCAATCTCTTTATGGATTCTATGATTTTGACATTTGTTTTCAAGCAGCGTCCCCCGTCTGCATGCAAATGACAACCAGGAGGAGCTTTTGGCAGCACCATATAAACGATTGTGTGTGGAGTTAGAGCAGTGGCCGGTGCCGGGAGGGGCATTGGTTTATGCGAAGGTACAACCAACACCTTTCGTCCTTGTTATGTCATCAGCATAGCCAAGGGTTTGTCATCATTTGTGAGGCCACCTTTTCCCCAATTGAGATTCCAATCTCAGTGTTCTCAGTGCTGCAAGGAGGTCTAAGGGATACAGTAGCTATACAGTGCCGCACATCCTGCGGGGCAGACCAAACACTTATCAAATTATCTTTAGACGAGCAAAAAATAAGGAACGAATTTTCTGCAGAGTTTGCTCGGTGTCGAGAAGAGAGCAGAAAGCAGAAAGCAGAGAGTAGAGGCAGAGTGAAGTCTCGTTGCGTGCCAGATAACCATCAATATGCTTTGGCGATATTTATGAGGCGCGCCTGCAGGATACGGGCTTTAATGATAGCCCAAAACAGGGCACTTAATTCCCAGTCTCCCAGGGTAGGAGCCACCAACACCGATGAAAGCGGCAGAAGGAGCAGCAAAGCCACCAGCAGAGGGCTCCACTACAACACAATCAATAACGATTTGACGAGGGCTCCACTTTGCAGGGAGTTGGAGCAGGCAGCAAGCAGCAGGCAGCAGGATTCTTGTATCCGATATCCACCTAGGCCAGGGCCACTTAATTGCATGCATGTGTGTGAGTGTGTGCGAGTGTTCCTGTGTGTGTGTGTGTGTGTGAATTTGTGTGAAACGAAAGCGAAATAATAATGAGGGTAATATTAAGCGAGTGTAAAGGAGATGGAGAAAGGCAGCGGCAGAGTAAGAGAAAAGGAGAAAGACAGAGTCAAACAAAATAAGAAACTAAAGTCGAAAAAAAAAGAATGCGAATGGGAATGGGAATGGGCATGAGAATGGAAGTATAACACTTTTCGTACGTCTTTGTTGCTGTCGATACCCTTTAAAGTGGAGGAGGGTAACTAGAGTGCAAGGCCAAGAAGCAATAATGTGGGGAACTATAAAGTATACTCCATGCTCGCTGTTGATGTCTATAAAATATCCGAAAAGAACACAGAAACCAGCTCCAAGTTGTACATCTGTAAAGGCATTAGACTAGAAAATAATTCCAGATTTCCACCAAAGCACCAAAGGGATAGATATTCTCAATCGTTAATATCTATGGAACGTATAAAAAAAAGATTAAAGGCAACCTCCAAGCTGTAACTCCATGAAGTTACCTCTAGCTTACTGCTCTTAAAAGCGCCCAAGAGAAAGATTCTCAAAGGTTAATATCCTTACATCAATAATATCTACAGAGCAGATAGCCTTAAGGGTGAAAGAACGCCTATTCCATTAAGCTGCAGATGCTACAGATTTGAGTACCATAATCTTGCAGAGAAAATAAATATTTACAAACGAAATAAATGCTTCTAGAAGTTCCGCAGAGTACCTGCCGCTTCGACCTTCTTAAAAACTTATATCTGGCTTTGGTTTTGGTTTTGTTTCTTGCTTTAGTTCACTGAATAAAAACTAAAAGTGCCCAGGTTCTATAGCTTTCTCGCTCTCACTCCTCTCTACTCCTGGCTACTGGCTAAGAAGCTCTGCTTGTGAATTCCTTTAATGCGGCCGAAACACGCAAACCTTCCAATTCCGATGGCCGGCAGACCAATTTGTTGTTTTTTGTGTGTGTTTTTTCTGTTGTATTTACAACCCAGGGAACACATTAATTCTGCTTCTTTTTGGAGCTTATTGTTGTTATGGTTGTTGTTCTGGTTGTTGCTTTTTGTTGGTAGTATTTCCAACCACCCTGTTTAGTGTGTGTGAAAAAACTAATAAAGGGCAATTTAAGCAATTCACAATTTGATCGGTTTGAGGCTAGGGGCCAGGGGCTGTGCCTGCCGTGATGTGTTCTGCGGGTCCTGCATGTGGACTTTTTAATGCAATTATGACTAATTTATTGAAATAACCCCCAGAGTTGGTTGAGGTCTCCTTAAGGGCGGCTGCTGTTAGTGCTCCTCCCCCTACACCCACTTACACACATGTGTTCTGATGTGTACTTAATCAACGCCCACACACACACACACACACACCCAGGCATATGTGTGCATAGCCATGCCATGTCGACGTCGACGTCGTAGATCTTTGTTAAGTTAACGCTTTCTGGAAATCAAAGTAACGCCCCCTCACAACGGCCTGTGGTGAGTGTCTGGGTGGTGGTAGGAGAAGTCTTGAGCCTGGAGCTAAGACCAAAAATAAATTGGTAGCTGGCTACCCTGGTGATGGAAGTGGTACCCTGTACCAGGCACTAGGCCTTTTGGTGGGTAGCAACCAACTGCACATCTCTAAAGTTCTATAACGGAAGACTCCAAAAGAAATATTAAATTGATAATAATCAGAAATATGAACGTGAAGTGCATTAATTCGTCGTGAAATCAATTAAATCTTAATTGAAACTGCATTTTTCCACGTATTTTGTTTCAAATTCTCTTTCCTAAAGGGTATCCCAGTGTTCCAGCTCCTTTTGTAGCCTCTCTCGTTAATGTCTTTTGGTTGTTATTGTTGCAAAAGCCATTACATTTATTTATGTATTTGTATTTAGCTTTTTTTCGCCTTGACTGCTAGGCCTACTCCTCTCTCTCTCTCTCTCTCTCTCTGCCTAGGTTACCACGTCGACAGTAGCTACCGCCCACTCCCACACACCCCACATATGTCTCTCTCTTTCTCCCTCTTGCTCTGCCACCGCCTGTCATGCTGTCTCTCGCCTCGTTTGACACTGAGCGCTAAAATATTTTTGCTTAATTTCAATGCCAGTCACGCATATCCTGCTGCTAAAGGCGCTGCCATCCCATCAGTTACATCTCCTCCACCACCTTCTACTCTGCCGCCTCTGCCGCCTCGGGCGCCTCGGGCGCCTCGGGCGCCTCGGGCGCCTCGGGCGCCGCCCTGTCATTATTTTTTGCTGCCATTTTTAAGGTTATCTGTAAACATTTTTGCCTTGTATCTAGTTTTTACATATCACTTGAGTTTGTAGAACACATTCACTCGCTTTATCGTATTTCGGGGAAAAGGCAATAATTGCTTGGGCTAGGTAGGCATTTTCTTGTTCATTTTCATTTACGTTTTCCCTTGGTTACTTTGCAAGTGTTGCGCGTAGATGGAAAATTGAGAATGGTAAGTGCTGCCCTGCTTGCTCCTCGATAATGGAAAATGCCTGTGCCGTTGCCTTGCCCATTTGGAGTATTTTGTTGTTTAAAATTTATGATTTTGAAATTCCGTCGTTGGCCTGAGAAAAGAGACAAGGAAACGCCCAGGCCAGCACTTAGAGCGACGCAAAAACAAAAACGAATTTCTATCTTAATGAATTTGACCCCCAGTGTCAATTTAAACTGATTAAACACAGCCCCAGACACACTCAGAGAGCAAGAGCGAGAGCTCTCTGCTGAGAAGTAAGAGGCGGCCTCTCTTCCCACTCTCTTGCACTCCTCTTCAACTGTTTTGTGCCCGCGAGAGAGCAAAGGGCAGCACGAGTAGGAGCAGTAGAGAGATAGAGCGACAGAGAAGAGGGGGAGGTAGAGTACCCCTGCAAAGCGGAAATGTTAAACTCATCTGCTTGTTGGTTTCTTTGCACTTGAAGAGGGTATGATGTTTCCCATAATGATATCCATTTCTCGCTGTGCTCTTTCGAACCACTTACTGAAGCATTTCCAATTAGATAACACTCTCGAATAGTTCATATATTTATTCGGTACCCTTTACGTTAATAGTTATTTGCTTTCCACGAGGTATCAACGCTTCGATCCAACCCATTTTCCGCTGCCTTTATTGCGGTTTTTGTTTCATTTGTGTGCTGTAATTTCGTCTATTTTTGTACACGCTTTCCGTCTCACTCTTTTGTCTCTCAATTTGTTTACAAATTCAAACAAAAATATTTTTGATTTGCCTTCTATCGCCTAGATAAAGCCTTGCAATCGGCTTTTGGCTATGAAATTCCAAACAATTTACGCACATTTTAATCGAAATTTATACACAATACGACGAGTACGAGAGTATTTATTTCGATTTGGTTTTTTGTCTGTATGTATTTGATGTATATTTTTGGATGTGTGTGTTTTTATATTTCATTCTATTCCATTCGATTTTTATGTTTGCATTTTTGTCACGCAGCGAATCGGCGCAAAAATGCAGATGTTTTCAATTGGGAGGGGGAGAAGAATATTCCATACAAGCACACACATGCACATACACACACACACACACACACACACACATTTACAAGTATTTGTGTGTTTGCTTCTGACTTTTTGAACTCAATTCATCTGAAAATAAGCGGATTTATGTGGGCACAATATTTTATTTCGTTATTTTTCCTCTTTAAAGCTTAAATTTTGTTCAAATTTTGTTCGCTTGCAGAAATGCACAAATATTTATTCAACTAAATATTAATAAATAATATTTTTGGTTGGCAGCAAATCGGATCAGGCAATCGACTTTGATGATAATTATACGAACACAAAATATTCGAACAAAAAAAAATAACGTGAAATATGTCAAAAAAAGTTTACTATCGGGCCAGCAGACTGCAGGGCAAACAAATTTTAATCTAAACTAGAAATGGGAATAAAATAAGTTATGGTTTTTGGAAATAAAATGCAGAGAAAATGCATTTGAAATGTGAATTGAAATGAAGTTGATGCAATTAAATGGGAAATGCGTTTACCACATTTAAGATACGAGGAAAAGGATTCTCAGTAGGGCAAGGAACGCTGTAAAGTACATTAAAATTAATCCTTTACTGCTAAGCCACATTGTGAGAGAGAAAGTGAAGTATTCAGGCTATAAAATTGATTTAGTAATCAGATTTTGAGCTCTGCCAGCTCAGCTAATACCTTAAGTATGCTCCACTCTTTAATATTAAAATTACCATAATTTACCATTTAATTTACATATTTCTTCTTTTTCTTGCAGGTGAGCACGACACCAATCACACCACAATCATTGGGAAATCAAGTAACATTTAGCTCCCCAATTGATGTACTTTAATAACCATAATTCCCTCGCAGCCACAAAGTAGGGCTCACAAATGCCATTTTAATGCGCTGTACGGGAATCTTTCTTGGGGAATCTTTCTTGCGTTGTTTAAGCGTTTTATAATGCCGTTCGTTTGTACCTTATGTACATTTACTGCGACTTAATGCCGCAAATTAAAATGCTGTGCAGTATGCCGTATGGCCCCTCTGATGTTTGATGCCCATTGCCATGGCCTGGGCTGGACTGGGCTGGGCGCTTGATGAAGGAACAGACGGACGTAAAGAGCTCCTACAAAATCGTCTGGAGTCTAATTTTAGCTGCCTGTGGCCTCAGAAATGGGAATGGAAATGGTGGGGACCCCACTCCCATAGGCATATCGACAACACTCAGACAGTAGCCAGTTCAAGGGAAAAATACTCAGCATGGGGTGCCTGCTGCCACTTCAGTAGGAAAGCAGCAGGAAAAACAAACAGAAAGAACACACAAAGCGGCCAGAGAAGTAGAAGGAAAAGTTTATTGAAGAGGAGGAGCAGGAGGGAGAGATGGTGCTGCAGGCAGCCCCAAAGATGGAAGATGGACGTGAAACACTCCATACACAATTACGACAAATCCACACAGCTCTCAAGGCTCTCCTCTCTCTATCTCTCTCTCTCTCTCTCTCCGTGTGTACTCCGTCCGGGTGATAATGCGAACGAACCCCAGAGACAGAGACTAGAGGCAAGGGTCTAAAAATAGAGACAAGGCAGCACAAGGATATTGTAGCAAATGGCAGCAGCAGTGGCAAGAAGATGGCAAAAAAAAGAAGGAGTGAGTGAGGGTAGAGGCAACGTAGGAAAAATCTGTACAGCTGCTGCCGCCATGTGTTGCATTTCAAAGTGTGTGACTTATGGGGCAGTCATGCCAGCCAGTGAGGCAAAGGCAGTGCAATGTAAAACCGCCGGAGGAGAAGAAAACACGCTGCCAGATGAGACGACAAATTACACGGGAACGTCAGAATGAAGCCCGTAACTGTACGCTGTACGCTGCATATGGACCTGCAAATCAATCACAAATTCCATCCTTACACTAATTGAAGTCTATGGCATATCCGATCGATACTTTCCCATGCCAATCGAGATTACCTGAGAGGGAGCAGGCTGCACGCTCGTATGCAAATGAAAATTGTGTAATTAATATGAAGATTGTAATTCAAGTCAGGGGTTCAGTCAGTGGGTTGGCAGCACTTTCATGTGCTGCAAATATTCACTCATAAATACCCAAAATATTTGCCATTGCATAAATTACCAATATGTGAAAGAGCCAAAAGCCAAAGGGCACAACTCAAAAACAGCCCAAGAATGTGCCTCTCTCTCTGTGTGTGTGTGTATGTGTGTGTGGGGAAAACTTAAATCAAAGGCCCGAATATGCATTACATTTTTAATTGCTTTCAAAGGAGGGTTCCAGCTCCACACATTCCCCTGCAACATATTGCATTCCAATCCATCAGCTCAAGCACGAAAGGAGTTTAATCATTTTTTAATTAAGTCAAAGTATTTTCAATATATTTTGGATAGCTTAACCCCAAGCAAAAGATGATGGAAAATGGTTTCAACTTTGACTTGGGATTTTATTGGACACTCTATACATGAATATTTGAATATTTCGAGGCATCTGGCAGGCAATTTTCCTTTAAACTTTCGTTTAAATTCTGCCGGGAAATTGGATCTCCCATGTCCTTCCATTGTTGCGTTAAGTTCCCTAGTTTCATCACTCCACTTCCATAGTTTCCATGCCCATCAGCAAATAAATTTGCAGACTCTAAAAAGTAATTTTTCCCTATAACATTTTTGGCATGCTAAAAATGTCTGCGAAAATCCTACCCGAATCCCCTGGAGAACATTTATCAACCATGGGGACCAACCATGCTCCTGGCAGTAGCTTATTATTCCCCGGACCACATTTCAATGGGAAAATTTTAATTAAGGCTGCGCTCTAAAATGGGAAAGAGGGGGCCATGCTTGGTTGGTTGCACGAACCCGGAGGAGTCGCCACTAAATCTCAAATGTCAATGAGTTGTGGTCACAAAATGTTTGGCTAACGCTGGAACCATTTGTTATGGCAACCGGGTGGGGGCTTTGGATGTGGCACTGCCAGAGGCAGGTGTCGTGCCCAAAAGAAACCTAAAACCAGTGCAGAGTTCCTCCTCCTACAGTTCGGTTCGTCCTGTTTCCTGGTGTAAAAATGATAAATTATACGTAAAATTTTTTGCAAACTTCTGGAAATTACGCATTAAATCATGCAGAAACAGGGGGGACAAATATACAGGGCAGGGTGCCGACCAATGGGTTAACCAAAACGCAAAGTCATTGTATAGTTTATGACTGAGATTTCCCCTTACACCTCCAAAGAAAAGAGCGAGCGGGGTTAAGGACACACTCTCTCTCTCTCGCTCTGGCTTTATCGCTCCGCATGAGCTGCAATTTTTATTACAATTTTTATGCTTTATTCTTTTGTGGATTTTTACGTTTATTTTATTTCGAAAAAAAAATGTAGGTAAATGCTTTGTTGTTTGTTGGTCACGTCTGCCCCCTCCTGTTACTTTTGTGTGTTGTTGTGGCTCGTAAATTCAGGGGCAAAACAAACTGCAGGTTGCACGAGGTAGATGCCAGTCAGCCGGCCCCCAGATAGATACATTCGTAGATACATTCGTTCCAGCATACAATTTCTGTATGGCCAACGCAGGCCACATTATTATTACTGCAGAAGGAGGAGGCTTACGAGAGAGGGTTTACTTTTGGCTTTGGCACATCTTTCATGGCTATGATTTAGTTCATTGTTCAGGGCTGTTGGCCAACACACAAGCAGCCAGCAATAGTAACTGAGGCAGAACAAGTGGCCAGCTTTTGGCAACGCCTTCTCCTCCACCTGCCTGCCGCCACATCATCATCATCATAAAGATCTCCTCAATGTTTGTTTTCTGCCCCCGGACTATGGGTCAAACAAACAACCCACAACAGTAGATAGTTGAGACATGAACCTAATTTACTGCCCGACTGACTTTCATGGCTACGAAATTTCCAAATGTCTTTATTTAGCTGCCGTTTTTGGGGTTTTTCTCGGAAAACCCATTTACTCCACAGTGCGCACGAAAGAGCTCAACACACAAATGGGTTATGCATGGGTTTTGAAAGGGTTTTTGCCACTACAAAAGTGTAGGATAATTATTAGCCATTAATCAATGATGGAACTGTTGCCACTGTCACTGCAGCATCCACTTGATACTTGATGCAAAGGACACTTGAGCCCCACTTGATGTGCTGTTGTGTAACAGAGAGAGAGACACACATGGGCCCAAGGAGAGACCCCAGGTGGCAGGCAGTTAGACAGACAGACAGATAGATAGGCACGCTCTTAGTTTTTAATGAAGGGCAGAGACACAATAGTCACCAATTACTTTGTCAATGTGTTGGCCAATCACTCAAAGGGCGAAAATTACCTCCAGTAAATCGGGGCACTGGGACGAGCGTCAGTCTCCAGCTGTTCCTGCCGTTTCATGGAATCTTTTGATTGCTCAAAACTAAACGAATGCTTTTCCACCATCGGATCATAGCAGATATTGCGACGCCAGAAGGCCGATGTAAAGTCCATGTCCACCGAATTAATGGGCGCCGTCATGCAGACCAAGAGGACACGATCGAGGGCGCGTTTCGAGAGCTCCGCTCCCTGGTTGAGGGTAATGCTGCATTGGGTTTGTTCGTTGGGCAACAGCACGCCCCAGCGGGGACGCATTTTGAACTTGCCCCAAACGGTGCTTTGTAGCTGCAAAAGGAGTTGCCATAAAGTCCACAGAAGATCTCTTGGGCTTTGTGTTTTTACCTTATACAACACTGGCACTTTGGATATATTATTCACGGATATATTTGTCGTATTGTTGTTCTCTTTGGAGAAGGTCAGTGGTCCCAAGGGCGTGACTTTTAATAATTTTGCTGTCATTGCGACAAATGCATTAGCCGAAAAAAGGAAAAATTCAATTTAAAAATACACAAAACGATAATTTAGAAAACTTTTTAAAAGGTTTTTACGCACGTAGTCTGAAACTTTAAATTTTGAAATAAATTTCGATATTTTGGATACTTTTTGTAGACATTTCTAGGGATTTTTTCAAGGGCCTGCTGTTTTGGGGGTAGAATATACAGTGCTGAACCTCTGCCTCTGCCCAAGGGTAAATCTCCCTCTGATGCCTTAATTCCACTTCGCAAAGTTCAAATCTGATGTCATATGTACACATATCCAGATATGTTCAGCTCTATTAAGTACAATTACACTTTAGCCAGCGCATTGCGGACGCTTCTTTGCCAACAATTGACCTCAAAGTTGTGTGTTTGTGTTTGCTGTGTAGCAGCAGCAGCAGCAGCAGGAGAAGGCCAAGTGGTGGCAAAAGGTAGTACCATAAGTATTAATTACATTCAACGGTCCGACAGCCGCTCAAGCAAATCGCAAAAGCCGGTTGGCCCAAACGGGCCGCAACATTTACAAGCCCAACAATTTGCTTTCGAAACAGCAAAAGTTCCCACACACAAGCACACACATGGACGCTGCCTTTCTCTCTCTCACTCTCTCTCACTCTCTCTCATCCTTGGGCAGCCGAGGCAGTCGAGCATTCGGAGCTTAGCTGGCGCTTAGGCTAAATGACCAAGCCCAGCAGGTGGTGGTTGCTTGATGGTTGGCAGTGTGGAGGTTTCTGAGTGCTTGGCAGAGGGAAAAGCTGTAAAATTAATTGATTTACAAGTGTGAAAATGCACAGAAAGAGGTAGAAAGAGTGCTCAAGTGGCACAGAGAGAACCATAACAATAACAACGAATAACAGAGCGAGAATTGCGACCAAGGGATATCCGCTACTACTACTACTAAAAGTTAGTTAGTACAAGAACTGTGTGAAAACAATGAAACGAATTGGAATGCCAAGGAAATGTTCATTGGTAGAAGGACAAAACAGAGAAAGAATTCATTATATAATTAATTTTTAGGTGTAAATGTAATCCGATTGCGATGAATATTATGGTTTGGGTAGTTTATATCTTTATAAATAATATTACTCAATTAGGGCTTCGTACGTTTAAAATTGTGACTAGAACAAACTTTTGATTGGGGAGTAAGTTATACAAACTAGATGTGCAGATGTTAGATCTTTTACTCTACGAAATTCCTACAAAACATTCCCAGCTTGTTGTCAGCTAACCAACGAAATGTTACACACAATATACCCCATGTTCTCTCTCTCTTTCTCTCCACAAGTACAGGGGCAGCGGGGAAACCCTCCCATACGTAATGTGGAATGCGCCGCATTTAGTTCTAGATTACGAGTACACTGTATATATTGCTGTGTTTGCCGACATCGAGAGTGTAAACTACAATCCGCTTAACGGTAATTGCTGCCAGAGACCGCACGTCCAGCGCGCCCCGCAGCGACACTTCCCCCCCGTTCCACTTCTACAGCCGTTTTTGTCGCGTGCTCTTTAAAGCTGAACATTAATGGGCATTGCCACGCCCACTTGCTACACCTGCTACATCCATAAATTGCGTGTAATTTTGGATTTCTTTTTGAAATGTCCATAAAGCTTATTTATATTTCATAAATGTTCCACCCCCCGCCACCCAACCCGCTGCCCAGACGACACGGCGGCAGAGACGGAACGGCAGGAAGTGAGCTTTTGTTTTTCAGCAGTTAGTTCCTTCCGTTCCGGCATAGGACTCCCCCATTTGCCTACCCCCCGCCGCTGCCTTTGTGTTTATTTGTTCCGTTCTGTTGGGTAGGATTTTCTGTGTTTGTTTTTGTGTAGCATTTTTAGGAGGCAATTTAATAACCCGTCTTGGGGCGCCTTTGCGTGTTTAGGCCACGGCATAAGCAATGAGGGGAGTGTGAGTGTGCTGCTCCCTCCGACATGATTTATTGAGTAACTCGTGGGCGTGGCCAGGATAAATATTGTTACTTTGATTGCATTTAATGTCCGGGGCACAAATCAATCAAAAGGGCAGTCTCCATTTCGCTGCTGCAATCACCCAATGGCGTGGCGGAGTCGCCGACTCTTTTATTTGCTGCTCAATTGATGTCTCGCTTTTTCGATGCTTTTTCTTTTTCTTTACTTTGGGGGGAGTGGGCGGGCGGAGACAAGTGAACGTCTGCTCGTCGTCGAACGATTACTTCTTGTTCTCTCTTTATTTCTCTCAACCTTTTCGCTGTATTTCTTTCCGAATTGCTCCATCTGTGTGTGTGTGTGTGTGTGTGTGTGTCTGTGTGTAATGTGATATTTTTGGCTTGATTGCGCTCACTGCTGCAGTGCCAAAGCGTTTGGGGGGCAATTTGGTGATTTAAAGTTTTTGTACTTCATCATTCTACGTAATCGATGCGATGTCTTTTCATTGCACTAGGGGGGTAACAGGACAGGGGCCCCTGGCAGTGCAGCTGCTCGATAATCTCCTGTCCAATTAAAAGGAAAAACTTTGTGGAAACCAGGAAAATGCATGCTTACACATCGTCGTACATCAGACATGAAACATGAAGATATTTTTAAACCAGCAAAAGGTGGAGGTGAAGGTGGATTGCTAGTTGGAGTCTCTCCCTCCCTCCCGCTCACCTCTCTCTCTCTCTCTCCCCTGTCTCGCATCATTTCAAATGAGATTCACTTTCGTCAGCCCTTTGAGGCCATCAGCATTAGCCATCCATCGTGTAGCTTGGACACGCTTTCGTGCTGCTTGTTAGCCCATGACAGAAGCCACATTAAAACAAATAAAAAATAGAAATAAAAGTAAAGTTTATGTACCCCCCCGCCCCGCCCAGTTCTGTTCTGTGTGTTTTTTGATGTTGCGCCAATTGACAGGGCCTTTAATTTATTTGGTTTTTTACCCAGTCCCCACTCCTTTGATTTAATTTTATTTCTGGCATTTTTCTTTGTATTTTCTTTGGTCGTTGTCGGCGCATCTTTTGGCTGCTGCCATAATTCAAGTCTCCGACTGCCCGCCCGTCTGTCCGCCTTTCGTGTGGCACGCCGTTTGCATAGCCAAACATTTGCTCTTAAATACAAATTTATTTCGTATTTGCACGAGTTTTTTTCATACTTTTATTTTTTCTATATTTGTTTGTTGTTTTTTCGAGTCACATTTTGCCTTGTTTTATTGACAAGTTGAAGCAGGGAATGGAACGTGAAGATTTCTGTCATTTTTTGCACATGAAGAGTATACGCTTTGCAGACATAAGGTGCTATGATTTTGTGGCGAAGTTTGACTCAGCTTTACATATTTATGTACATCAATAATTACTTCAAATACGGTTACTCTTCCTGCATTTCGTCTGTTTTCTGCCTTGTGCGCCGTGCAGTCGGAATTGTCTTATCTCTTGATCTTCGTTTCATCTGTGAGAGAGAGCTTTGTCTTGCTCTCTCGCAATGCACGCTCTTTCCATTTAATGCGCTCTCTCAGCAACAACAACAGCTATTGCGGCGGTCGCTGCTCTCTCACGCTGCGGAAATAACAAACGGAACTGACGTTCGATTTGCTGCGTAGGTTCTGGCTTTAGTTTGATCTTCTCTTCTTGTTGCCACCTCTCTTACCTCTTACCTGCAGTGTATCTCCCACAGCAGTTAGACGCTCTTTACTGTACTTTTTTTTCGCCAAGTTTCTTGTGTGCTTTGGATATTTGTCTTCATTTATTTGTATTGATTTTTGTGCTGCTTCTTCTACTGTTTGATTTAGTGGCTCCATAGATCTCTATGGGAGGTGCTTCAAATGTTTCGGCACTGGAGATGCTGCTGCTGCTGCTGGTGGTCACTGCCCAATTTCGGTTTCATTTGCTAGGCCAGTGAATAATCACAATGCATTTATCTATCGCCTCACCCAAAACGACCTTTTCCCGTACACTTTCACGCGGGAGCAGCAGCGCCAGTAGCAAACAGCAGCAGCCGCAGCAGTGGATTTTCAATTATTTAATTTTCCGCTCACGTTTGGTGAGTTTTTCACGTAGTTTTTCATTGGCTCTCCAGCTAAATGCGACAAAGAGCAAAAAGCAAAAAAAAAGGCAGTGGGAAAATCGAAATGGTTTACGATAAAAATCAGCAAAAAGGAAAGGAAAACCCAAAGTGCATCTTCAACGTTGAAGACGACGATGAAATTCTCACGTTTCCATTGGCATTAAGGTTTCCAAAGGAGAGGCAATGGTATACCAACTAAGTGTAGGTGCAAGCCCCTTCGGTTTGGGGGCATGCATCATTTGGCAGCGCCGCCAGGCAATTGATGACAGTCACAGAGCCCCAGCCAAAAGCTCTGGAGTTTGACTCTCTTGATGGTGGGTACGGCAGCATAAATTCCACTTAAATGGCAAACCAGTCACCAGCAACAGTCCTCTCCCACTTCGGCCCATATCATCATCAACATCATCATCGTCATCAAAGTGCATCTTCAGCTTAAGGTTCGACTTGCGAGTCAGCCTCTGCCAGTAACAACTATAGAAACTGCAATGTGGGCATCACGCAGACCAGCGCAGACCCAGTGACACACTAAAGTGGGGTTGCACACAGCACAGAATTTACTTGTATGCCCTAACAAAGGGTTGTTAAGACATGGCCAAGGAGTTGACAGAGCAAAGAGGTGGGATTAGGCATGGAAACAGCTTTTAGGGTGTGGTTTTAGAAGATATCTTTGCCTTAAAATTGTTATTTTAAGTGAAGAACATATTGCTAGAGTATCTGCAGCTCCCTTGCCCAAGTATTGACCTTCCCTTTTCCTGCTTTTTCGTATAAAAAAAACTCTGCACGAAGAGCAACAGAAACCGCATTTAAATGCTGGCTGCCTCTGTGGGTCTCTGTTCAAGTTTCGCTTTCGGTTCGCTGTTATTTTTTTGCTGCAGATGCACAGCCTGAACCAGGCCCAAAACCAAACCGAACACAAGCGTTTCCTGTAGCTCTACCAACAACCAGTTTATGGCTTAGTGAAGCTACAGAGCCTAGGGCCATCTATTCTTTTCTCTCTCTCTCTCTTTCTGCCT